AGTGCTATACCAGCTCCTGACGCGATTAATTGTTGAGTGATCAATGTCAGAGCTTGCAGATGACTAGGAAGCTATGATACAGATGCTACGGCAGCAGGAACGACGGTGGCAACTGTTGAAGCAGTGATTTTATTTAATAATTGATAATAATATCGATCACTTCTTGATAGTGTTCACTATCCATATTGTTATGATCTTTGAATATATACGAAATTAATTTACGAGGCATCGAAATACTGATATAGTTGACATGTTGTTCGAACTATAACGTTAATTAGTCAGTGACAGATATGTCAGTTATATTTTCTATATTTTCTTGGTTATCCTGGCTCGTGTTATCGTCAACTTGAAATGTATGTTAAAAGTAGGGATTTAACCAATCGTTATATTTCTCATCAACATTTAAAATTTTTTCGACATCTAATACTAATAATATTGTATGTTTCCAACAAAGTTCTTTTTTTATACGTGTTCTACTGACAGTTTTTCCACATTCACCTTTTAAAAAATATAATTGTTCGGTAATTTCTTTTTTGCTATTTGATTTTGAATATTGATCACCTAATGAAAGTAATATATACTCTACATCTTGAACAAATTTATTTAATAATTCTTTTCTATTAAAATCTGGATCAACTATTATCAAATTTCGAACATTAAATGTAATGCCACGTTTATTGACAGCATTACACTTTTTAATACGACTATTCTTTTTCTAAAAAGAGACAATCCTGAAAATTTTGCACAAGGAGGATAAAGTGACATGACATACTTTTCCAACCGGTACTACATTTCGTATACCTTGTAAAACCATAGTACCTAATGTTGTTTTCGTATAATAGTATACCATGCAGTTTTAGTGAAAAGCTTCACGTGGTCGAATCTCTATTCGTACAAAATTGATTTTGTGTTTTTCGATAGATTTAGTTTAGAATACTGTAGTGGAATATTTTGGAAAGGACGTACAAGCATAGCTTGGAAAAACACATTCGCCGACAATTTGATTTTCTAAAATGAATTCGTATTCGGTGGAAATTCGTTTCGGCATACAATGGATGATAATAATGTGTATTGATATATACAGTATGTTTGCGAATGCTCAATTATTTTCTGAGTAGTTTAGGTCACTATTTAGGTCAGATACCGATGGATGCGTGTGTCGCGAAGGAGAAAAATGCCACGAGAGTGAGTCACAATCCTTGCCTAACCTAGATGCACAGTGAGCAATTAGGCAGCAATTTGGTCAAAAAGATGAAGTTTGATTTTTCCTGATTTGAAGATTGCCCTACATACTTCAAGTGACGGACTATCTAACGGCAAAAGAATTTTTATCCGAAGTCCTTTCCTCTCGGGAAAAAGTTAATCGGAAACATCATTCTATTATTTTGTACCTTTTTGGAAAAACCGCATTTTCTCGACTTAAATTTGGTGTCAGCATTAATCTGCGGCTATATTCGGAATCAGCGGAAGTTAGGCTTCCAATCAGTATGGGAAAAGCTTTTCTCGAGCCTCATTCTTAAAAAGGATTTTGATCTTTTCTGAAAAAACGTGATTTTCCAAAAGCTTCACTCAATGTAATGAGATCGCTAAATTTTTCTAAGCTCCAAGAACCTTCATTTTTTGCGAGGATGAGCTCCATAACCACCTCTATCTATGGTATCAGCCCATAGTCGCCCCAATCACACTGGCGTTCTCTGGAGATTTTCAAAGATCCGTTGGTTTTCAGGATAAAATAAGCCTTTTTGTACCTTAAAATGATTTTTTTCGATATAATCTATACATATTCGAGATCAGTGGGAAAAACTGGATCTAATGAATTAGAATATTGCATATTAAATTCCGAAAACAAATTTTTTGGCTCTTTGAGCCAAGAATTTGAACGTGTTTTTACATACTTCCTATAAGAATCACACGAACCTGGATATTTTTTCCATTCTTCACATATTTTTCTATACTGAATCACTCACAATTTATAGAACGTGACTAATCCGGCGGGGCGCGCGGGGGCC